CTATTTGTTATAAATGTAAAAATGCTATTTTGAGGGACTTGGACAGACCTTTTACATAATTTAGACCTAATGAGGCCAGAGATTCGACCTAATAAAGCAAGAACACACTATGAGCAATGCGGAGAATTCTTCTACGAGTTTTTCACTTCCTTCTTCCTATTTCCATTATTGGTTATGAAATTTAGTATTGTAGTTTTGAATACTATTATGAATAGCTAATTTGTTATCTAGAGTTTTGATGGAACCTATTAGAGGATGATTTTCTTGTTATGTTAATATAGATTTGTTGTAGTATTTTTTCTATTTGTTCAACTATGTTATTATTGTGGTTGGTTAAAGAGCTCTCAATCGACTGTGCCTATTTAGTGTGTATTACTCGAGAGAGAGTGCATATTTAGGTAGTTGTTGAACAACATCACTCCTAACGTATATGAGGAATCAATACAGAGGGTTTAAAGGTGAGAATAGGGATAACAAAATCTTGGGTGTGATCCGAGTGAGCCGTACTTAATGCCGGCTAGCGTAATTCGGGAGAATATATCTAGTAAATTATGGTAATTACTCGGGAGAGAGTTACGACAGTCAGAGCGCTCATGATCTGTAGTGAATACTTAGGCAAATCTATAGAAAATGTAGCGGGAAGGATTCCGACAATAGGGGAAATCATAACAATAGACCTCCTTAATCTTGTCTCCAATCCTTATCCTTATTAGTTGATTGTTTTACTGCTTTCTAGTATTTATTAGTTGATTAGATAAAAATAAATATTATAATCTTTATAATTAGGAAATTGTTTGGACTTGTGCTTCTTAGCAATATTGAACAGTTGTAGCTAAACCTTAGTTCTCTGTGGGATTCGACTTCGGACTTGTAAACCGAATTATATTTGCAACGACCGCTTTGTCCTTTTTATAAGGCATAGTTGGGAATGATCAAATGACATTACGGAGAACATCTCCAAAGTAAGAATTCGTCTAAAGGAACCAACTAGTGACATCCCAATATGGTCTCTAACTACAAATTGAATATTTACGACCAAAACTTGCTACAATATTATAGAACCTCCAACATATACCTAAATAGATTTCAAATGGATTTGGGATTTAATATGTCAAAATAAAATCAAATCCTTTTTATGGCAATATCTCCATAATAGGATACCATGTAGAAAATACCTGGCAGGAATTGGTTTAAACATTGATCCAAACTGCCCTATATATAAATGCAAAAAAGAGGAATCCATAACCCATATTTTCTTTAACTGCAAAGCCACTAAACCGTTTTGGGACAGTCTTGGGTGGCAAAATTTCTATAGAGCTCAAGTTGAACATTGGCTTCTTCAATTAAAAGCTTTTGACTATCCACTAAAGAACAAATTCATAAATTGGATTTCTTTCTTTCCATTTGCCATCTGGTACATTTGGTTAAATAGAAATAACAACAATCAAAACAATACTGAAAATCCTATAAATGGTGACCTTATTATTCAAAGGGCAACTAAATTTAAACTTCTCACTGAAAAAAGTATAAAATCTCCTCAAAAAATCCCCATTAAAGTTAGATGGCATAAACCACCAAAAGAATGGTTTAAACTAAATATAGATGCTAGTTTCAATAGTAATAACCAAAAATGTGGCCTGGGAGGTGTATTCAGGAATGCCAATGGAAATTAGGTAGTTGGTTCTGCAAAATCAACTCATGCTAGTGGATCATTACAAGCAGAAATCAAGGCACTCCTAGAGGGACTCAAAACAGCACAAGCATGGGGAATGTTCCCTCTTGAAATCGAGACAGACTCCACGGAGGTAATCCAGTCTATCCAACAAGGCAACAAATTATATGATGACATTGTTAATGAATGCAGTATGTTAATGCTCCAGCAGAAGGAGGTAACCCTCCAGCACACATTCCACACATTCAGGCAAGGGAATAATATAGCTCATTAAATGGCAAAGAAAGCGCTAATCAAACAAAGCGGAAAAGACATTTTGTTGAACCACCATCTTATGTAAAATATTTTTTGGAAAGTGAACTAGTATAACACTATGTTTTTGTGAAGTTTCTATCTTATGGTGCTTTTAATACCCTAGCAAGCTTAGTCAATCAAAGTGTCCTTAGTGATACAAAGTATGAAAGTCATGTACTGAACGCTACATAGTTTCTAACATATATATTTCATGTTTGCTAAAAAAAAAGACACCAACAGACTTAACTACGTGCTTATGGTTAGAGACAAGGTTTTTAAAAGAAATATCTTTAGTTAGTGACTTTGTGACTCTTGTGTTGACTTTGGTAATCATCGAGCAGTTTAATTGGACCATAGTAATCTTTAAACTTGAATGTGGTCGTGGTAGGCTCTCGACTCCATCCTCTTTTATAATCTAGTTGCGTGAGGGGTGAGAGGAATTATTGCTAGTCCAAGTATCCGTGCGAAGAGTCTAGAACTTGCCCCCAATGTGTTTCAAGGCGAAATCCTAAGTTTTGCTTGGTTTGAGAAGTGATTGTAGGCTCTCCTTGACCCATTTGAGTTTTCTATTGCCAACCAATGTCTTTATCTCGACTCAACCCCTTTGAACTTCTAGTCTTTCTCATTTGATATCATGTTACAAGCCTTTACCCATTTTGTCGTGACCCTCTCTTGGCACCTGAGCTTTCCTTAACACTCTTGTGAAACAAATGGCTTAAAACGTAAGTTTGGGGGAGAGCTGAGAAATTTCAAAAGGTAATAAGGCACAAATAGAAAAAGAAATGGTCTCTATGAGAAGAGAAGGCAAGAAAAGAAAAGGACAAAAAGAAAAATGCAAAAAGTGAATAAGTGTAAGGGTTGAATGGATTAAAAAAGAGGTAATGATCCCAAACATTGAGAAATCAAAAAGGGAGAAAAAGAATGAAATGATCAAGAAAGAGTGATGTTAAGTCTCTCTAGTCCCCAATAAAAGAAAATGCCTCTAAGAATTGGCAAGTGTGAGCCGAGAAATAAAAGATGGAGTGCTTAAGGAAAGGTGTAACCACTTACCCATACGGTATCCTACCCTAACCTAAAAGCCTTCATTACATCCCGAAAAAGTCCTACTTGATTTCAAACCGAGTGAGCTTACAATAGTGGCGATCTACATAAGGGGCAAGCCTATGGTACTTGAAGCCGTACTTGTGACATTCTCTTGTGAGAGATGAGTGCGCTTTTCATGAATCTTCGGATTAAGTGCTAACTTCTTAAGTGATTTTGGCAAATGGAAAGTAGAGTGCTAACTTCTTAAGTGATTTTGGCAAATGGAAAGTAGAGGAGGAAGAGTTCGAAGAAAGAGTTCCTGTATATTATACTGGAATTCCAATATATTATACTGGAGTATTTTTTCACATTTTGATCAATGTATTCATTCAGAATTAAAAAGTGGCTAAATTTCGATTACTTTTGAAACTGTGGCTATTTTTGAATGACCACTTGTAAATCTGGCTATTTTTGAATTTTTTTCATCGGAGGCGGATCTAGGATTTATGGTATATGGGTGCACTACTAAAAAAAAGGAGAAAAATCATATTAAGTGGGAATTAATCCCTATTCCTCTTAGCAAATAACTCAATATTCAACTACATGCACCATTCAGCTTTATTGGAGTATAGGTGCCAACGATTAATATTATACAAACTTTAAAAAAATACATACATAAAATATTAAATTTTGCAAAAAGATCATGAATCCACGTACCTCATAATCTCGATGACACGTTATCATCATTAGTACCGGAATTTCAATACAAAGAAAAAAAGGAAAGTTGAATCGTATAAGTTATAGTAACTATTATGGAAAACGACTTGGTGAATGATGATCTTGATAAGGAAAGTCTTCATTATTTATTGCATTGCCCAAAAATTATTTAGCCTTTCTATTCTATTTCCACCATATTAGATAGTTGTTGTTCGACTAATTACCATAAAATAAAGTAATTTATACTAAGACACTTTTGTATTATATTGGACTAATGAGTGCGTCGGCATTTGACTTTGACTTTTTTCATGACCAAAATGCCCCTCGCCGCGTATATCACCAACTTACTGATAAATATTCCAAAGAAAAATGATTACCATATGAAAGTGAAAGTCAAGAGGATAATTACGTCTTTTTCAGTAATCAAAGTGACAACGAAAACCTTCACTTCCCCTCAAAGTGAAGTCACCGTCCCATTAAATTGTAAACGTCAACCTAATCGCAATCGCCCTCACGCACCGTCACCTCCTTCAGTCCTTCTCTTACTAAATAAAAAAATAAATACAAAAACAATTTTGCTACATAAAATTGCACGAATAACTTCGAATTAAAGTTAGAATCACTGAAATCGGAAAATAAAATACATTAAACAAATTAAATAAACGGGGATGGTTTAGTGGTTAATGTCTCAAGGGAGGTAAGAGTAACACATCATATATGTTGAGAACCAAAAAAAATAAAAAAATAAAAATTATATCCGATAATGAACGTTTCCAGTCTTGATTAAGCGGTAGATCTTATATAAAAAAACAAATGTTATATATCTATTTTGTATATATATATTGAATGCTGATAAACATTTGGAAAGAAGGACCATTGTTGTTTCTTTTGAAGAAAGAAAATAAGATAACCCGGTGCACAAAGCATCTCACATTCACGTAGGGTTTTGGAAAGGGTCGCACTCCAAAGGGTGTAGTGTAGATAATCTACGTTAATGCAAGCGTTAGTGGCTGCTTCTACGACTTGAACCTATATAGGTCACGCAAAGATAACTTTACCGTTTGGACAACTGCTGATTCTTTTGAATCATAAAGAAAAGAATGTTTACAAAATTAAAATTTTCTTATTTCTATAAATCAATAAAAAGACCAACGTGTGAAAATTCAAAGCCTAAGACTTAATAAATTGAAATAAAATAAAGAATTTATGGCGACACGGAATTTTATGTAATTTAATCATTAATTTTATAACAGGAGCCTGGACCAACCATGTCCATATATATAATCCACAAAATGCTAGCTACCATTTTCAACCTTTTCTAGCACTTTAACATAACAACATTCTTCAATCATGAACAGTCTCTTTCATTTCTTTTTCTTCTTCTTTCTCCTCTTCACTTCTCAAATTGTATTACTTCACGCCATCGGCCGTCCACCGGCGGCACGATTTTCCGGTCCGTCGATGGCGAGAAAACATCAAGTTTTTCAACCTCAGGCGAGTGCGCCGTTTGCTAGAGGCTTTGAGTCCGATAAGAGGAGAGTTCCCACTGGACCAAATCCTCTACACAACAAGAAAAGAAAGGCTTGAATTCTGCATTTAGAGTTCCTCTTGCTATCCGTTAAAGGTATAGTAATTTAATTTTCATTCATTAGTTTGTCTTTTGGTTGTAGAGTTTTCCTCTGTATTATATTGGTGATTCAATATTTGTATTCACCAATTTCAATTTTGTACAAATTATGGTATAGATAGCTTAGTTTAATTACACATGTAATTTTTTTTAATTCCATAACTTTTAATTTTTTTTTTTGCAGTTAGGTTATTTTAGGTTTTTCGCCTATACTAGCTGGGTGATTATGCCTATGTAGATTTTGCGAGAAAGGAATATGTGGTGTTTGTTAGCATAAATAATGTAGTATTGCAAAAAATTGTTTAAGTTGATAATTCTATCACTACATATTTTTTTTCCTTTTCTTTACTTGTACTAGTACGTAATTACTCCTTTGTAAGAATGGTTTTTTTAAACCAAGTTAGCTAGCCTCAGAATTGAATGAACATTAATAATTAATAAGAGAAAATAAAATAACAATGGACTCTCTCTCTCTCGTAAATACTTATGAAGATATTAATCAAATAATATGTTCATAGTAATTGTTTCACTTCTAAATGCGTTTGCTATTGCTCATACTTAGGAGTTTTTTTTTACCAAAATTATCCCTTATCTTTTCAGGGTAAATTTAACTTTGTCCTTCAAATATAATATTGAGCGTGAATTATCCTCTAAGTTAGCAAAAGTTAACCGCCTTTAGTCCAACTAACAAATAACATGACATTCGCTAGAAAACTAGCAGAGCCATTACTCAACTACACATGAAACATTTTTTTTATTTAAATCCAGCTCTCTTTCACCCCCAAAATCAGTCGATTGCCAGCTTTTCTACCGGAGAAAATTATTACTTCCACCGGATTCAAACAACCTACATAGTCGGTAAACTTAGAATGTCAGTATGGACGATTTAAGCTTTAAAACTTGTGTTCGTTGAAATAATGGGGTTTGAAGTACCGTTACACCAGTGTGTAATCCGTTCTATTCTAGGAGGAAATAATCCACAACCTCGGGTATTAGGAAGGGATTAAGTTCTTTAAGGAAACACTATGAATTCAGTGGGCTCGGATAAAATTCTGTTTCTTCTACATTTCTATTTTATATGTTAATTTCCTTTTCCAAAATTATTTTATAAATACAGTGTACTAACAATGCTATCTGGGACTTGCCCGCGATCTGGGTCTTGTTTGAATTAGTGAAACTACGTATGTAATTTTCAGCCGAACAATTCTTGAAAGAAGATTTGGAGGTGAAAACTGAAACGTATCACCTGCAGATCGCATGTTGCTGCTAGCTTTCTAATGGATGTTGTATGGACGAAAAGCGCTCAACTTTTGCAAATTTAGAAGACAATTGGTACTCAAGGTATATTTGGAGGATAAAGTTAAACTTACCCTTAAAGATAAGGAATAATTTTAGCCAAAAATTCTCATACTTAGTAATTAGTAATACTTACCTTTTTATTTTTGTCCAAAATAAGTGTCCACTTACGTAATCAAGAAGGAATTAATTTTATTTTTTTAAAATTTGCCCTTATTTACATATTCCAATGTGTCAGGGTAACAATTAATTAAGTTTAATTTAGTGAATATATTTTCTTTCTTTAGGAGTTTATAATTTTCTTAATGGGTGTGTCAAAGATAAAATTATCGCTTATTGAAGTTGATACCATTTTCAAACTTAAAGGAAGAAAAACAAAAGTTTCACTAGTATTATTATCTGACTTTTTGTTTTTAATCATCTTCATATATACAAAAAGATTCATCATATAATAAGTTTCACAGTAAACAAACGACAAGGAAAATATATTCTATATCCAATAAAATTATAGAGAAAATCCAGTTGTTAAAAATGTTAAACGTTTTTTCCAGGTGAAATTTAATTGTTTGAATGATTTTTGAAGAAAAAATATTAATTAAGCAGGAAATAAAGAAATGAAATATCATGTCAAAATATTTTTTAGTATCCGAGTTGAGAGAGGGAGGAAGCATATGTTAACTGATACCCTTTTACCGGAAAAAATTATACTGCATAGTCAGGTAAAAAAGAAAAAAATACATATATATATATATACTTTGACTTTTTATGTGTTTATTTTTTTTTTTATATTTTAACACATTAGTAAAAATTCTGATTTCGCAGCAAAGAAAAAGAGATTGACTCTGGTCTCGTTTTCACAGGGTATGTGAATGATATAAAGGAAGTGTACAGCCCCAGAGTGTCACGGTGGACCCAAAATTTTAAATAAGAAGTGGTAAATAACCATATTAATATCATACAACTACCCAACACTTAATAACACTAGCCTTTAATTCATACAAAACAATGAACACTACAGCTGGCTTCTCATCGATCTTCTTCTCCCTTAAATGCTGTTTTCTTATGGAATATATCATTCTTTATTCACATATAACTATATACCCCCTACTGCTCCTCTGTTGAATTATTAACCCTATCCATTTTCCAACAATAATCTCCTTTAGATTAACTTCTAGAATTATGCCCACAAAAGGAAAAAGAAAAAGTTTTTTTTTTTTTTTTTTTTTTTTTTTTTTGGCGTAGAGCAAACAAAAGATTATTGTCTCCTAGTAGTTTATTTCCACGGAGACCACCTTTATAAATCTTTTAGGTTTCACTAATCTCATTACTTTCTTTTATACTTTAGCAATTAGAACCATTTGGTACTAAAAGGAATCCTAATGTGATAGTTATGATGCTCATGATGGAGAGCGGGCCGACAATGACGGGTCAAGTAGGACAGACAAGCTTTCAAGCTGGCAATGTTCTGAACAGAGGCGGATCCAGGATTTGAACCTTATAGGTTCCCATTTCCAGTGATCTCAAATAATATACAATAATAACTGATCGGGACAAAAAATTTCAGCAAGTTCTTTTATTTGGCTGGCCTCTTTTAATTTAACTTCATTTGTAGTGTTTATTAAGAAGAAAATAGAAACAACACAAGTGCCTGCGGATGTCGTTTTGTGAAAAAACCAAAGGTGAAGTTAAAAAACTGTCAAATATAGGATTCGAACCCTCATCAACCAACTTACAAAAACATAGTCTAAGGAGGGTCCTCATTTGCCGCTGAACCAACAGTCGCTTCCAGTATTGGGTTCCCAGCTAAATTTATTTATACATTTAGTGTATTTCTCGATACAAATACAAGACCGGACAAAAGTTATTGGATTCCCAGGAACCCGTACCCAATATTGTAGATCCGCCCCTGGTTCTGAAGACGGAGGGCACATGTCACCATAAATGAATCCCATATTGAATGAGAGAGAAAAGTGAAGAGTTTTATAAGGCGTGATATATAATTCACATGGCACTCGTACTTTAGGCTCGATGATTGCGTGGCCTAAAGGATAAATCCGTAAGGTCTATTGGGCCAAAGCGAACAGTATGTGCTATTAACTTGGATCGTGACAATAGTTACATGAACAAAATGTTTTGTTGTTCGACGCCAAAAAAATAAATGTAAGTATTTGAATGGATTTAAGTTATGTTTATTGTGTAAAGATTTTTAAAACCATATTATATTATAAATTGAAAATTATTCTATTAACTAGTAGGTTATTTTTGCTATTTATTATAGGTTATCTGTGAACTCTTATTAAACAGTTACTCATAATCAACTATAAGCGATAGAGATAGAGTAATCAAAATTTAAAGTTTATTAGTTCTGAATTTGTCTCGAACACATAGTTCATCTTAGTTATTGGGTTCCTAATTAAATATTGATGCATATTTAGTGAATTTTCTAATTAAGTAAAAGTTATGAAATCTGTTCGAACTCACATCTAATACTCTAGCTCCCCTATTAAGTGGCAAGATCGTATAAATATATTCTATCATTAGTGCATTTTCTCTAACAAAACGGTTTCTTAATCAAGCAACAGTTACGCCAAAATATTGACCCTAAACAATTGATAAGTAGTGCCTCGTTGTTCAAATTATCCACATGTGGCAATTGTGTTTGGATGGAAAAGAAAAGTGTGTAAGTGAAGAAAGCTGCAGCTTAACCGCCCCATTTTGGCAATAACTTTTCTTGAACAAATTATAACGGGGTTGGACAAACAGAGTTGCAATGATATCAAAGTCAAATTAAGCATAACCATTTTAAGTATGTAGCCCCACACAAACCACTAAGGCACTAACTGCACCTGTTAGGCTGCGAGAGACACAATCTCACATTGAAGATGAATGAGTTCTTTGAACTCTTTATATATTTTGGGCGGTCCTCACCTGCTATTTTAGACTACACTCACAGAAGGGGTTGAATTGTGTTTTGCCTGATTTTTGCATTTTCAAAGAACTTGATTCTTTGGACTATTTTAGCACAATCAAACAAGAACAATTGCGAAAAATTAATTACCACTGAGATTTTTACGTGAAAAACCTACTTGCTCAAGGGAGTAAAAAATCACGACCTGTCCAATAGGATTTTCTCCAAATCTCTACTAACTTCAAGGAGCAAATTTAGGTAACAACTCAGTAATCAAGGGAATTATCTCTAGTACCCGAACCCCTACAATCAACACAATTGTAGCAACCCATTTCTAAACTAACTCTAGCTTAGAAAACGTAACACAATAAAGTCTCCGTAACGACCCAACCGGTCGTTTTGAGCTCTAGCGCGTCGTTCGGCAGTTTGAGGCCATAAACAACTTCACTTCTGGTATTATAACTTGTACGCGTGGTCGGAATTGAATTTCGGAAAGTTCAGAGTTAATTTGGAAAGATAATTCCCATTTCGGAAGCTTTAAGTTGGAAGAATTGACTAAGAATTGATTTTTGAGTAAACAACCTCAGAATCGGGATTTGAAGGTTCCAACAGGTTCGTATGATGATTCTGGACTTGGGTGTATGTCCGGATCAGGCTTTGGATGACCCGGGAGCGTTTCGGCGCCTATTGAGGAAATTAGCATTTTGGAAGAATTTCATAAATTTGGGTTGAAGTGCAATTCAATGTTATCGTTATCCTTTTGGGATTCCAAGTCTGGGAATAGCTCCGTATGGTAATTCTGGTATTGGTAGCGCAATCGGAAGTATATTTGGAGGTTCGTAGGTCATTTTGGAGTCATTTGGCGAAAGTTGGAAATTTGAAGGTTTTTGAGAAGTTTGACCGAAAGTGGACTTTTTGATATCGGGGTCAAAATCTGATTCCGAAAGTTGGAGTAGGTTCGCAATGTCAAATGTGACTTGCGTGCAAAATCTAAGGTCAATTGGACGTGATTTGATAGGTTTAAACATCGAAAGTAGAAGTTGGAGTTTCTCAAGTTCATCAAGTTTGAATTGGGGTGTGATTCGTGATTTTAGCGTTGTTTGATGTGATTTGAGGCCTCGAGCAAATCCGTGT